AGTGGGTGCAGACGTGACACCCGAGTTGAAAACACTTATTTAGACACATACATCAACATTGAATGGTAAAACTGTCTTTATAAGACTTGCGAACTGCCCTAGATGCCGGACTAATAGGCGTTTTTGCGCCAAAATTGGTGTTTTTATGAGATTTATCGAGTTTCTTGACGTAATCTTTTGAGTAAAACATATCGAATTTGGTATTTTTGTAAAGATTTTTAAACGTTCTACAACTTTTTTCATTGGTGGTTTTTGATAAATTGTATCAATAAAACGTTACAAACAAAAATAACACAAAAATATTTAAAAATACAGGTTTTTTCAAAATTACGAAGAATGTACTAAACATACAAAAAATGTGTAAATTTAAAACAGGTAGCATTTAAAATTATCTTTCAAACAAAAAAAAGTTCATTCCGATCCGACAAATAGTTTGCGAAATATACGATTTAAAAAAATCAATGGCTGCCATTTTGATGACGTCATAGCTCGAAAACGTACCAGGTGCGAACTTGACACCCGAGTGGAAAACACTTCCTAAGACACCTATATTGAAATGCAAAAGCAAAATTCTCTATACACGACATGCACACAGAACCCTAGTCAGGTCCTGGACTAATCTGTAAAGTCTATAATTTAAAATTATGTAAGTTAATTTTTTTTATAAATTCTAACAATAGCACCCATAAAAAAAATAGGTAGTAGCAATAAGTATACTTAAACGTAGATCATGATAAAGAGTCAATTAAAATACATAATATCTTGAAATCAATTTTTGATTCTATAATTTTTTTACTTTTTCTATTCATACAGAAAACTTACATTTTCCACCTTAATTTTCTTCACAGTGATATAATTCTCCTCAATTTCTATTTGGTAGAATGAAATGATAAACTCAATCAGGAAAAAAAATTAAATTAATCTACTTTAGACTCTTATGTGGATTGCTCTTCCAACAGTCATCAGAAATTTGCCAAACCTTCTACTGTTTGTTACGATGGAGAATGTTGGGGGTGCCAAACCCCCCGAGCTCACTGTAAGTGGAGGGTCCATCGCCGTAGATGGCACTTGGACCCTCCATGCTACAAACGGAATCTTCTGGTGTACGTGAGACTTCGTTTTCTGTCACTTCCGTTGTTTCGTGAGGTAACGGCCGAGAGGACTGCCGCTGTTGTCTCTGAAGCGCCTGTAACATTCGTCCTCAATTTTAGACTGAATATTTTTAAACTAAATTGTTAAAAAGGTAAAACCGTTGTTTATTAATATTTCAGATTGAAATGTTAATGTTAATTATCTTCTTTTTTCTCTAAAATTGTTTAGTCCATTGTGAACAGTCTTCAAGCTTAAGGAGATTGAACTTCCAAATAAAGGTATTTTGTCTTCTTTTTCAGATTGGAAACATCTTCATGATAACTGATCCATCATGACATACTTGATGAGTGGCCATCCAGGCTGCTTTGGCCATCCATGATTGTTTTTTAATGGCCTTCAAAGTAGATTTCCCAGTCTTCTTAGCAGGGCCGCTTTTATAAATAAGGTAGGTGGGCCGGAGCCCAGACGCGCAAGAGATTTTAGGTTGGTTGGGGGAGCAAAGAATAGAAAAATTCCCCCCACAATGTATGTGGTGATCTCTCAGCCCCATAGCGCAACACATGTAAACTGCAGGCCTGCTTCTTAGTTCAAGGGAAGATGGACTTCAGTGGCTTAATTGCTTAGGATTTAGCTTTGATAAGATACTTCGCTATTTCTTTTTGTTGGGATTAAAATTTTGTTTTAATAAGTTCATGCAAATCTAACTATTATTATGAAATATTTTTTCCAACATAAACTATCCCTAGAGACTGTCTGGAGAAGCTATACAATTTATAATTTTATGAAATGTGCTAAGATGCACATTGTCTTGTCGGTAACATGCATGACTCATTTCTTCTCTCATTCATCTGATCCATAAATTAATTAACAGAATCTATCTTGTTTAACCTAAAACATAGATGATAGCCATGCTTTAAAACAGAAAATTGTTTGCTGCCATATACATTTAATTTAACTGAGTAGAAAACAAATCAAATACAGTACCTTGGACATAAATATAGAGTATTTCTATGGTTAATTGGATGATCTTCATGCAGTAGAGTTGAGTTCCACTATTCCAAACTATTTGGGACCAAAGCCTTTGCGGATAAGCGGAAATTCAGAATAAGTTGATTTTCTTAATATCAAAACATTAACGGGAAAATAGTCGCAATTGTGACGTTCATGATCTCAGGATATGATTAAAATAATTTCAAGAGGTTTTTAATATGAAAATGATAGCCGACATTCATGTTGTATTGTTCATAAGAAATATTTACTATGTTTGTGCTCGAATTCAAGTACTATAGGCTATTAACTTGTTCTTCAATAGGCGTTAGCCAATTTGTTATGTGATAATGACGTATGGTTGAGTAGATCAGTAGTTATAGTACTCGCCTAGTAGAAATCAATCATAAGGTTGACAGTTACTTCCTGAGAAAAATGTGTAACTTTTTTTATGGTTTGATAATGGACACGGTTTAAAGCTGTATTTTTTCAGTAGCCTTGGACCCAGCTGTCCTTGATCATTCCGCTTTTAATAAATGGACCTGACTAATGAAACAACTCATCTTATTCAGTAACAAAGCTACACACAGATAATCTCACTATAGGGATGAAAGACGACGCAAAATTTAGGCGACCGACTAAAACGAATTTAGAATTCTTCAGTTGAGTTCTCCCCGTTCCTAGCCATATTGGCCATGGAGGGGCATCAGCCCAAGCAGCCATGCCGCATGACGTCAGTTGGCTCACTGTAAGGTGCTGCTCCCTAGCGGTAATTTGGGGCGTTATACAAACTACTGTAGTTGCGCAGTTACTTGGTTCAGCCAAGGCCCCACTAGAAAAAACAGGCAATGCTGCAGCAGGGGCAGCGCAACACTACGTCACAGTGGTGGATAGTTGTACTAAAATCTTACCATTAAAATCTTACAAACAGCCAGCTTGTTTATTTACCTAAAACATATGGGAATGGTGATGGCAATTAATTTATCAATGAAATCCATCCACTAGTGTGACGTCATGAATCCTGCAGCATGGCCTTGTTTTTCTAGTGGGGCCTTGGTTCAGCTTGGTTCCAGCCATGTGCTGTGGCACGGGCCATCACACAAAGCAGCCTGATGTGGGCAAGTCACATGGGTGATCGGAACTAAGTGAAAATTAATGCAAAGGAGTCTAACTGAAATTAAATATTTTTCAAACAATGTTTTATGTTAATGTCTAGGTTTATTTATATGTTCATGTCTCCATAACTCTAGTGTTAATGTAATGCAATTGGTATTCCGTCAATGTCAACAACTAGATTTGTATAATCCCTAGTGAAAAAAATCCAGTTACTGGCCAGGTTCTGGCCCAGGTTCCAGAATTGGCAGGAACCTGGGCCAGAACCAGAACCTGGCCAGTACTGTTCCAGAACCTGGCCAGTACTGTTCCAGAACCTGGCCAGTACTGTTCCAGAACCTGGCCAGTACTGGTTCAGAACCTGGTCAGTACTGTTCCAGAACCTGACCAGTACTGGCCCAGAACCTGGCCAGTAACTGTTCCAGAACCTGGCCAGTACTGGTCCAGAACCTGGCCAGTACTGGTTCAGAACCTGGCCAGTACTGTTCCAGAACCTGGCCAGTACTGGTCCAGAACCTGGCCAGTAACTGTTCCAGAACCTGGCCAGTACTGGTTTAGAACCTGGCCAGTACTGGTTCAGAACCTGGCCAGTAGGCCTACTGTTCCAGAATGTATTGGTTGTTTGAGCTTGCGAAGACGACCCACTTTTACATGAGAATGATGTGAAAAAACATAATTGTGTTAGTATTTTATCACGTCTTTCACATTTTCTCAAATTAAAATACAGTAACGTTTTTGTATCCATAGTTTTTTGTATTTTACGTGAATAACTCGTTAAAAATAATTACCTTTTTACATGAGGGAAAGGAATTTATCGACGGATTTTCCAAAAAAATTAAATTTGTATGCTGATATTTTTACATTATTGGTATATGACAATTGTTTGTCATTTCCATATATATAACTCTTTTGTAGAAAATGATTGTAAAGGGTCACACTCTTGACTTACACTTTCCAATCAGACAAATACTGCCATTATCTTATCACAATTTCCACTCTTTTCTACTTACCAATGGCACTTATCAATGGCAAGACTCATTAATTTTATATAGGCCTAAACCATGGTTATTGATGAGCATGATTACTTCTTACTGAAATGGTTGAGGACCCTATAATTCTGCAGTTTATGTAAGATTAGGTACTCAATTACAATAGACACTGTTATACCTAATAAAAAAAAAACTTTTTTGTTATTTCCGTGCTATTCAAACGGTCAAACAAAATTAAAATAACCAAATACATATCTAATATTACCATGAATGTATCTAATATTACATGTCTAATATTAACATGAATCTCAATCATACCTAATATCAGACAATTTTACGGATTGATACACAATTTTTAATTGAGGTTAATTAACTTTTTAAAATATAACAATATTGATTGTTAAATTAACTAATTTCTATTGAAACTGTTTGTAAAGATGGCTTTATGCCAGCATTTTATCGATTTTTTATGTAGGCATATAAATCTTAGGCCTACCTTAGTGACAAAATCAAAAGACAATGCACAATTTAACACAGGATTATTAGGTCTACTAGCTCCTTTGTTGGTAAAAGAATTATTATTTGTGAATTTTCTTCTATTTTAGTCAGCAAGGTAATACTGCTGTTAAATTGATCATCCATTACAAAATATTTAATTTTGTTAATGTTTATCCATAGGTATTTTAAAAATTTCCTCATTAGCAAATGTGTAGGCCTTAATCAATATTCAGCATTATACTCCAACATGTATGTATTTAAAAATATTACATTAGATCTTTGCACTTATAAATAATAATGAATTTTAAAGACATAAAGATTGAGTCCATGAGCCATTTATGGGATGCAGTCTTCGTTCTCCTCAGTCGTTTCTCCCTCCTCAGTCGTTTCTCCCTCCTCAGTCGTTTCTCTCCTGAAAAAAAGTAACATTATATTATTAACATTGAATATATTCAACTGGTGTTGGATGTAAACTTTTAAGAGATGACTCATAACAGATTTCTTATTCTAAAGCAGAATCAGAACACCTGGCTTCTTTCAATTTACTGAGCCCTTTTTTGCCTTTAACTCCTTAAACATATAATTTTGCTTTGGTTGAGAAAATGTTGCAGTTTCCAATAAAAAAAGTGTTGGTTTTAATTTGTTTGTCTATAGGCCTACCTATTAGTTTTGATATCTTAGAGAGATAGGCTATGTGCAAATAAATCAAGCATCAACTCTGTAAGGCAAATGAAACATTAGGCTAAGTTTTTACATTTTGCTTTGATGGTGACTGACATCATCTATTAATCAATCATTGGGTATCAAATTACCTTCCTTCCTACTTGCTAACAATTCGATTTCATGACGGTCTTAGCCAATCTTTTATCACCGTCTCGATGTTTCTTTTTCTTTGGCCTCTGGAAACTGGTTGAAAAACAGCTTCTGTAAGAAATAACAAGAAGTTTGCTATTATTAATAGTAAGTAGGCTATGTAGCACTAGTAACGTGTCAAAATCTAATCTCAAAACCACCAAAACTTAGAAAAAGGTTTCAGCTTGAAAAGGTTCCATCAGCGAGTTTCTAGATTCAAAACTTTAAATGGGGAAGACAGACAAAAAGAAATTAAACCTTTGACAAGAACTTCATGCACACTTTTTTAACTTTATTTTTTTGCAATCTCATGTAACAGTGATTTGCCGTTGGGAATAAATAAATTTGATTGAATCAAAATCAGCTTAATATATTTCTCAATGCTGTAAAAGGGCCTAAAAATCAACCATAATAAAGTTTTCCCAGATCTACGCATGCTTAAAGGGTACAGTTCACAAAACTCGGCATGGTGCAATAAGGTGCTTCGACAAGCATAACCCACGCACATAAAATGTGCCGAAGCCGATTCCCATTCAATTATCACAAATTTCAAAAGTATGGATACAATAACCAAGCTATGTAGGCTAGGTACATACATTTATTAACAACATAAAATTTGTTCTAGCCTAACTTACTTTCAGTTAAGAAGTAAACAGGCCTTTAAAAATCCATACCGCTTAAGAAACGTAACAGATTTTGACGCAAATTGGTTAGCTAGAACTTAACTTATATTTACTTATACTTAACTTAACCTAGGATATGTAAAATGTCGCAAAGTTCAGGTAAATTAGAAAAAACTAGGTGTCACTGTCAATACCGTATGAATAAATTATTGGTAAGGCCCCTATTAGCCGTGAGCAACATGTGGCGCAGCTAGTGGAGCCGCCGGTGTCGGACGTGTAGAGGGGCATGGAGTCAAATGGTGCCTATTAGCCGCGGGGAGACCGGTGGCGCCGCCGAAAAAGCTGCCCGAGGTGTTGCCGGGAGTGATTTTGCCCGGCAACATGTGTCGCGACCGTTTTAGTGTCCAGGCAGTCGGGGGGCATTGCAGTATATGGAGCCTATTAGCCGTGGGCAACATGCGACGCCACTGACTGCGCTCGCATGCACTATTAACGTGAAAACGAAGCCTGTCACACAGTCTACATCGTGGTTTGAGTCGATTGAGACGTGCCTCACCATATTGCTGTTATATTCATTAGTGACTTCGGTTCACTTTGTTTACCAGTGACCTTTTTAACTTCTTTCCTTCCTTTCATTCTTTCCTTTTTGTGTCATTAGCGTTTTTAGTTGTCTTTAGTTTAGATAAACAATGTCCAGTGCTAATAGTGACGTGCAAATTGTGGATGCAGTCACTCAACGTCATGTTTGACACTAGAGTGTTGTGGTGAATTCCGCTGTTTGAGCGAGCTACGAATGTGTCGCGCGACTAGTGTCCAGGTTCCAAAACGCTATGGGCCACCGGCGGCTCCACTAGCTGCGCCACATGTTGCTCACGGCTAATAGGGGCCTAAGTTATCAGTCGAGAAATGTTACCAATAACTTAATTATAACATAAAATAGGCCTCATCCATAGTGTGACAGTAAATAACAAATTAAGTTATTCTAGGAATTGGTCTAACAAATACGTTAGATAGGAGTACATTTTCGGTTTGTTGGAAGTTATTTTTGGTTAGCTAATGCTCCCTAGCCTAAGTTTAATTTACTGCGCTTGGCTCGATTTTATTTTCATCCTACCCTACCTAGCAGTACCGGTAGCCTATTTTTAACTTATGCCTAAGGAATTTATTTTATGAAATCAACTATCCTTTAAGGGTGTAAGAATTATTTAGGTGTAGGGCCTAACAATTGAATTTAAGATATTTAACTTGTAACCTAACTTTTAATCTAGGCTTTGACTAAGGCTGACTGCATAGGTTTAAGAAAATGATTGTAGTAGGCTAAGTTAGGTATATTCCTATATAGGTTATTAAAAGTTGCAGATTTGAAACTGTGGCCAATGATTCACCTAAGTAAGGTTAAAAAGTGATATCGCATTAGGACATGCAGTAAAACGTTAGGACTCCGTTCAAGTAAAAATCAAACTTTCAAAGAAAGCCCCATCAAGGCTATAGGGCTACTAACAAATGTACTAAGATTAAATCCAATGCAAATTTGTTAGGTAGTCTAAAAACTTATAACTGTAAGCCAAAGCCTGGCTAACTCATTTGTAATGTCTATTGGAAAATAAAGCTTTGATTTGATTTGATTTGATTTGATTAGGTTAGTTTTCTATAAGTAACTTAACTTAACTACCGGTTTATAACTTAACCTAACTTTAATCAGTTTAAAGAAAGACTAGATGTTGCAGAATTTTTATCGAACCTAATTTTTGATGTGTAACTCACATTGAAACTTATTAACTAAAGTAGGCCTAATGTTATTTTGAATTCCTTACCTTGGTTTGGGAGACAGCCTCTTCAATAACGATATTCTTTGGTGAAAGAAAACTAAAAAACTGAAGGTAAACTACCTAACAACAAAAATCTTAGGCTACTAATATAATATGGATACGATTATACACTATTACATTTTAATTTTAAATTGAAAGGACTAAGTTATACTTTTGCAAAGTCAAGAGGTTAGGCACAACAGCCAAGCAAAGATGGCGACGCCGATCTTTTGACAGTTGGAGTTGGAACAGAAAAATCAGTCCCCTCCCCTCCTCTGCCACGGACTGCACTGGACCCTGTCATTAGCTCTCAGTCTGGCGCGAAAATTCTTTTAAATTTTAATCTTGCTCAATTTTTCAAAACAATACAGTAGTTATTTTAATCAATCTTTTATTTTGGTTGTAGAGATAATTATTCTAGGACACATAGGTACTTGTCCTATGTATGGGTATGTGGTAGTACTGTAGTAACTTTAATATTTTACAGGAAAAAATCACAAAAGTTGCAAAAAATAAACCCTAATTTTCACAACACTGAGAGGTTGCACCATTTAAATTTAAATTATAAAGACCAAAATATACTAATTTTTATCAATATAGGTTAAAAAAACACAGTTTTCCTCTATTATATACAAAATAACATGTAAGTTACAGTAGCTTTTAAACCGTAATTTTACAGTAATAGGCGTTGTAAAATTTTTTTCAGAATTTAAAGGGCTCTAACATACTTGTTATTTATAAAAAATTTTTGGCCAATTTTTTAAAATAAGATTTTGCTATTATTTCATGGGTTTTTATGGAAAAATCACCATTAAAAAACAAAATTTCAAAAAAGTTAAAACTTTGAAAACCCATGGTTTGGTACTTATTACTTGCTGAATTTCATCACAATCGGACAACACTTGTGGTCTGTAGCTCTGTACAGATTTGCTCATTATATGTATAAATAAATTAATCGTTATCAGTAATCTCCAATTTACCAAAGTGAATAACTTGTAAAAAACAACAAACTCATATAATTGAGTCTGAATTCTGGACCAGAGGCCATTATCAGCCAAGAACACTGCCAGTATCATCCAGTACCAGCAAAAACCTGGCCAGTATCAGAATCAGAATATAGTTTTATTGCCATAATAATACAAAAATGTACTGGGCATAAGTCACTAAAACTATCAAGTAAAACCAGACCCATTAAAATAAAGATACAAACTTCAATATCAGCCCAGTACTCGCCAGAACCTGGCCAGTATCAGCCCAGTACCCTCCAGAACCTGTCCAGTATCATTCCAGAACCTGGCCAGTATCGCCCAGAACCTGGCCAGTATCGCCCAGAACCTGGCCAGTCTCGCCCAGAACCTGGCCAGTACTTGTCAGTACTGTGGCAGAACTGGTCAGTTCTGTGACAGTACTGGCCAGAACCTGGACCAGAAAATTTTTTTCATTAGGGATGAATTCGAATATTTATATATTTATAGGAGGAAATTTACATATTTATCTGCACCTTGCAAGCGTTTACACCGATACTATTTTGCATGCAATTATTGTATTTAGCAGTACATTAGGTTTTCTTTTTCCTATAAAATATCAGAATCAGTACATTTATTAAATAATTTTTAAAGGTGACTTGCTAACAACCTAAAAAGCATCATTCGTCAAATACAAACTCTACAGCAACACAGCCAAGTAAAATTACATAAAACATACCTTTTCTCTACTTCCTTTTTTCTGTGAGGAAGAAAAAAACAAAATCATTAGTTAAAACCAATCAAATTTCACACTACATTCTTACCATAACTGAGAAGCGGGTTAAAGTTGCACTACGGTCGTCTGGTTTGGTTTCGGTAAATTTAGTACCTGACACTGAAAATAACAATGAGATTTAAACTAAAAGTTTTAGGGAGTTTTAAGGGCGTTAAAGTGATTGCCAAACAAAACAATATTTGTAAACAGTAATGATAAATTTTCCTCAGGACTTACAAGAAATGAACAAATAAAGAGGTATCTTTTGGATTATCAATTGTGGGTATCTAAACAAAAACATGGGTGTCTACAGTAGACTATAGTATATCCAACAACAGTCTGTAAATTAAGGTCTCTGTCTCCACTTTTAGTTCTAGTTATGGCCAAGCGAGCTAATTAAAATCTGAGACCAATGGGTCGCCCACTGTGAAAATGTATACAGCTTTCTGCAATCTACTTAAGGCATATGCACATTTTCTACGAGAAAACACTTTTCTGCCGAACAGGGATTGACCCTTTCCTACAGAAACTTTACTATGTAACTTGATTATTTATACTTGGTTAGAGCGTAAATTTTCTTTCACAACGCTTTCAAGAACTATGACGAGACTGAGTTTTTTAAAGAGGTTGACGGCCTCTTTTAAGCTTGCATTTGCCTATCTGCGTAGACTAAAGATCTGTGCGTGGAACATATCCAGCAAAGCAAGGGGTGAGCCGGTACAGTACAAGGGAGTACTGATAAAAAATAGTGGCAGGTACTAGGAACCAAACCTACGGTGTCCCTGTCTTGGGCCCAAAGTCTGTGGTGCTATGGACTGAGCCAACGACTCACCTAATCATTCCATTGGGGTGGGAACCAGTTAGAATAGCAGTGGACAAAGTAAAGATCAGATTTGAACTAGCTAGCGTGGATGTGACAGGAACTCTAATTAGACCTTAGGACAGCCTTTATTTTATCATCACCCTTGTTTTGCAGAATCATCTTCTGGCTTTCCTTTGATCCTTGTTCTGTCTCTTAAGCGTATAATAAACCTCTGGATTCCCTGTATTTCTTCACCCTTTTCACCATATATTTTACTTATGTTTATTAACATGCTGCACACTACAAATGTTTAAGTAATGACCAACTGATCACAAAGTCCTCAAGCAGCCCTAGTACTGTCAACCATGCTGATGTCTCAAACAATCCACTCATAGCTATGGGTAAAGTTATAACTCAGCTGGAAGTTCCTCTTATTTTGTACCAGCATTGGCCTTCTTTTATACCTTAAAATACTGGCAACCAGTAGCTTCAAGAAAGATCTTGTTATGTTAGTTAAGTACTCTTCTTAGCTTTTGTTATTATTACTTTTACTTCTCTGTACAAAATCTAATCCTTCTTTTAATAACTTTAAAACTAGAGAATTCAAATATTGATTAACTCAAATGTGTCAGGACCCCAGAATATCAATAATGTTTCATCTTTTACTCCATTGCTAAAAAGACCAATTATTATGATTTTAAATACAAAAAATCCTTTAGCACTTAATTCTATGTTAGAATAATAGCTTATGAGCTGATTTGAAATTTGTCTTATCTCTAAAAATTATGTGTTTTGTAAAGGATTAAACACATTTACAAATTGCATGCATAGATTCTACAGTACTAATAAGGTAAAAAGCTTTCAAGTTTTTTAGAAAACTACTCACAGTACTGGTATCAAAAAGTTGTCTTAGGTAAAGTACAATAGAAAATGTTCACAGATATTGGTGAAAGCTTTGATTTGTTGTTGGGAGATACCTGAAGGGAAAACCGCCTGTGTGCAACTTTGCGGCCTCCTCTTCGTTTGGATATGTGAGGATTGTTTTGGCGAATTGTTTTATTCTTCAAAACTTCAAGTTGAGTGTACAGTCTCTTCAACTCAGCCTGAAAGGAAATTTAAAATTTAGTTTACAAAGAGTTTTAGGAGAGAAGCCTATATTAACTCAATCTATCTTACAGAAATAGTCAACTATTCAAATCAAGGACTTTTGTGACAATTTAGCTAAACTTGATGGAAAGTGTACATTCTGGCACAGAAGTGCAAAAACTTCACACTAAACACAAACAATCAAACTCAACTTGGGAAAGCTAAACCTTGTGTTTCTTGTGCCAGAGAGGATCTTTCCATTTCAGGAGAAAATTCTATCGTTAAAAATCCATAAAACAGCTAGATCCTTGGTCTATTTATGTTCACCCTTAACAATCAATTCACTTATGAATATTGTACTGAAAAACAAAGTAAGTATATGATTCAGAATATTTATATTAAGGTGTGTTTTCCTATCTGTGGGGTACACTTTAGTAAACCATGCACTAAATAAATGGAATATCATTGGCTACCATTATATACAGAAAGATAAAAGATGTACTAGCTTGTATAAACTTTTTTCTGTTTTATAATTTTAGTTTTACAATATGAGAAGCCAAGAATCAATCCACAATTTAATAGACATCTGAGAAAGTTACTCAGTCTTGATTATTTGTTTTTCGGCTATACGAACTTCTGTGTTATCCGACTGAGTACCATAAATCATGGGCTATTTCTGTATCTAAGAGCACAATCAATGGCAGCGAAATATTAGGGAGAGGAGACAGAAGAACAATCACCAGGTACCAAAAGTTAGGAGTTGGGTACCCAGCTGGCCCAAAATCGACTGATTACCTTGGGTGACAATAATCTTACCTCGGCCCTACATCCAATCCCATCAGGAAAACAATTCAATTTGAAGAACGAAAATATAGAAGACTGGAATGGGCTATAAAGGCTGTACATGAGATATCGCTTATGGTAAACATTTATTTTTGTTTGTATTCAGTAATTCTTGAAAACCTACCATTAACCATTTGTGAAATACTTGTGAAGATTTATCAAAACTTATACAAATATTAAACAGTAAGAAATGCGTACTCGGATGTCTTCTGGATTCATCTCAGCGAGGCTAACCTCCGCCACATCCATGTCTCCATACAAGACTCCGTCCTGTGGCTTGTATGCATCTGATGGCTCATGGGACAAGTGATGTCTCGAGTCTCTCACCTGCTTGTGTTGATACCACAGCTGTAACATCAAACTCAAATAAACTGTTCAATCCGTAAATGTTAGTGCTCAATCTTAACATGCACCCTCACACCCATGAAGAACCCAAGTCCTACAGGGTTTTGTTGTCTTTTTTTATCTGGTTAACTTTGTCATAGGGTATGTTATTATTGATTATGGGGCAATTGTAAAATAAACCGTTGATCAGTAAACATTAGAAACAAAAGACCATTCATTTCAGTCTTCATTCATTGATGAGGAACCCAAGTCCTACAGGGTTCTTTGTTGTCTGTCTTATTTTGTCTGGTTAACTTTGGAGGTCTGTATGGATGGGATAACACAGCATCCATATTCAACAATGTAGAGATGATAATGGAAATGTTTACTTCATAATATTGTAAATGATGAGTTTATATACTCAAAGCCCAA